AAGGAAAGAAGAAGTAAGAGGCAGGCAGCAAATTTAACTCGGACTTCAGGTATATATATATGCATGCATGTGTAGGTATAGTATATAGCTACATGATCACATTCTTTTTGTCTTTTGGATTGTTCTTAATATATAGGTTTGGAGCTACAACAAACATTTTGAAAATTTAAATTTTGTACGTGATTTAGTGTGGATTTTATTATGTATAGTTTTCTATACATGGAAATATAATGTATGAAAATGCATTTCGCATATAAGTGTTCTAATATTAGTAAAACGTATATGATGAGGTCAGTTTGGCACCGAGTGGACAGTATTCCCCATCTTCTAAAAATATTGGACTGAAAACTCAACAATGGGCCAAGAACTAATAAATGAGGATGACTGAGTTCAAGACCAAGATGGTTCACGGAAGACGAATGTATAAAATCTACACACACAATTAAGATTACAATTTTATATTTTATCTCGAATTCTCTGTCTCTTTACTATTTTTCATTCGGCCTGTTCATCTCCGTCGGCTCTAAGTCTTGCAATGAGTGAATTTTTCCAGCAGTCGAGCGATCGAGTAGGGTTAGAAGAAAGCTCTTGCAGTGATTTTGCACCATCAATATACATGTACAATTATGTTCGAGATTAAAATAAGACACCTACATTAATTTTCAGGAAAAAAATTCTGCCTTTTAAAATTTGAAACATTTCTTTAAAAAAATTAAAAAAAAAAATTAAGAATTAGCTAAAAGAAAATAGTTATAAAGTGGAAGTAATTATGATAGTTTTTCATCTTTTTGCAGAGAAGGGATGGTGTGAGTAGACAATTGCATTTTGAACCTTACCCTATTGGCCATTTGATTTATTTAGAGGCCCTATCATTTCATTTTATTTTATTTTTAATTATTTTATTTCATCTACGACAGACAATATTTGACATGGATGGAAACTTTGTTGGACCCACACCACACTACTCCATTGCTTCTATGAATCTCATACACTCTACATATTTCTTTGTCTCCTTTGTATTATTGGTGTTCATCATCCCATTTATTTTAATTAATTTGTGCATACATGCACACACACACATATTATATATATATATATATTAGGGCGCACACCCCTGACTTATGGTCCAATTACGAAAACCTCCCTAATATTCGGATAATTACAGCCACCCCCTTAACTATATATTATCCTACGAAAAGACCCCTCTAGATGTAAATTTGAGGATGTTAATTCGGTAAAACTGAACCGAAACTTCGGTACGCCAACATTTCATACCGTTTACCGAACTAAATATACGATTTGGTTCGGTAAATAACTGAATTACATAAATTTTATGTAAAAATATTTAAAAAGATGGGGTGATTGTAATTACCCAAACAAGAGGGGTGTTTTTGTAATTTGACCATACCTTAGAGGTGGCCGTAATTTGCCCCATTTATTTTAACTAATTTGGACATATATACACACATATATTATATATGTATATGGAAATAAAATGGTAAATTACGGCCATCCCCTGAGATAAGGTTAATTATGAAAAAATCCCTCATATTTGGATAATTATAATTATCCTTCAATTATGCATTTTTTAATGAACAAACCCCTACAGTAAGAATGAATGTGTAAATCAGTACATAGTTGAAGGTTTTTTTTCGTAATTTACCAAAAAAAAAAAAAACTCTAATAGTGGGCATGGTATTTAGGGTTTAGCACATTGGGAATCAAAAGAATTTTTGTTGTTTCCAATGTTTTTTTTTTTTTTTGTATGTGGATGAATCTTTCTAAAAACATGAGGTAATTAAACAAGAATGCATATATATAATTCCTAGAGAGAGAGAGAGAGATATGTGTGTGTGTCAGACAGTAGTAGAAATATTCATTGTAGAATTCAGACAACCTAAGAACAAGAAAGGGTGATGATGTATAATCTTGAATTTTCATTCCCACAATATTCTTTTCCAGCCTTTACTTGTTGACCAAATGCAAAAGAAATACAAACCAAATAACATATATATATATAATTATATATATAATTACATGACGTGACGTATGTATATACATACATTGATACATATACACACAAACACACACACATATACACACACGTATAATTTGTACCGTAAACATGCAACAAATAATATCCCATATCCACTAATATATGATCTAAAAGATTATATTCAATCCATCATCAAACATTACTTTGAAAAAAGAAAAAAAAAGAAAACCCAATTAATTAATTAATTAATAAATTAATGGAAGGAGAAAGAGGGTTGTTGCCGCCGATTTATGATCATCATCATCATCTGCAGATTTCTTTCTCTGCTCACCATCAAGAAATGGGGTTTGTACACTTCGAAGAAGAAGATCATCATAACCAAGTTCTCAGCTTCTTGGTGGCGCCGCCACCACCACCACCACCCTCTCAGCAGCTCCACGGCGGCGCTAATAAGCCAACCACCACCACAAATTATAATAATAATGGTTCCTTAGGGTTTAATAATAATCATCATAGTGAACTTGTAAATAGACCCTCATGGAATAACGACCAACCGGTACCCCTTTCTCTCTCTCTCTCTAAAACTCTCTCTCTCTCTCTCTCTCTCTAAAACTCATGATCTACTAATTATAATTGCTAGTTTGAATTATGGGTAGCTTAATTAGCAAATAATTTGTTTGATTAGTTTATGCTTCATTTTCAAGATCTTGGTTTGATTAATATGTATGTATATATAATTGCTTTTGGGATATATATATATAATAAATAAATTAAAAAGGTGAGCATATAAATAATAAATTAATAAGGAAAGAAATGCATATATGTGTAGGTGGGAGGTGGAGCAGTGGATCCGAAAGCAGCTAATGATGATGAAAATTGCAGTGCTAACACAAACCAAGCTGCTGCTCCCAATTATAATTCATGGTACACACACACACACACACATGTATATATATATATATATATATATATATATATATATATATATATATATATATATATATCTTTTGATTATTACTTTCTGATCTGATCCTGAAATTCTTACCCGTCAATGTATCCTGGTTACTTATAAACCCTAGCTAGAGATCTAAATTTTGTTGTCAATGAAAATGGTTCTTCTTCTTGTATATATAATATATATATTGAAAAACCCTATTTTTAATATACACATATATATAAGTAGTGTGTGTGTGGAGTTAATGTATATATGGTGCATGAACATTGTTAATAGTGTGATGGACTATTGTGAAGTCTGAGAAGGACTAGTGCTGCTTCCACTATGTGTGTGTGTGTGTGTGTGTGCGTGCACTCAGTCATATCAACGTGTACGGTGTATGTATATATGTATCGGAGATTTTTTTGCATGTGATCGATCGATCAATCGATCTCATTTTTCTGATGATATATATGTATGTTATATATAATTAATATATATTCATGCCTCGATCTAATTGTATTTAATTGATTAATTAAATAGTTTTGGTGTTTATTAAAAATGTTGATTGATTAATTAATGAATTAGGTGGAGGAATTCATCATCGGCATCGGGGGGTTCGTCGTCGGCGACGGAGAAGAACAAGGTGAAGATAAGGAGAAAACTAAGAGAGCCTAGGTTTTGTTTTCAGACAAGGAGTGATGTTGATGTTCTTGAAGATGGCTATAAATGGAGGAAATATGGCCAAAAAGTTGTCAAGAACAGTCTTCATCCCAGGTTTTTCTTCTTTTTCTTGATAATAAATATTAATTATTCATTTAATTGAACTTAATGAATTAATCATGGGAGAAAATGCATTATATATATGATGATTATATTAATTAATTGGTGAATGATAATTGATAATCCTTATCTTATGCATGCATGGGAATTTTTACAAGTATTAATAAAACTAAATGGTTGATAATTTTTGTATTAATTAATTAAGACCTTAGAGAACCTCATGCAGAAGTGTGTGTGTGTGTGTGTGTGTGTGTGTGTGTGTGTGTGTGTGTGTGTGTGTGCGAGAGAGAGCGAGAGAGAGAGAGAGAGAGAGAGAGAGAGAGAGAGAGAGAGAGAGAGAGAGAGAGAGAGAGAGAGAGAGAGAGAGAGAGAGAGAGAGAGAGAGAGAGAGAGAGAGAGAGAGAGAGAGAGAGAGAGAGAGAGAGAGAGAGAGAGAGAGAGAGAGAGAGAGAGAGAGAGAGAGAGAGAGAGAGAGAGAGAGAGAGAGAGAGAGAGAGAGAGAGAGAGAGAGAGAGAAGAGAGAGAGAGAGAGAGAGAGAGAGAGAGGGAGTTTCATTGCATGAGAAATTCCCAGGCCCTAGTTCAAGATTAATGCAAAATTTATATATATAGAATTGCAGGCATCCCAAAACCTTTACTTATAAAAAAATAATAATAATAAATCCGGAAATTTTATAGACTATACACACACAATTTTGTAAATTTTAACAGATTCTATAATCCTCAATCGATGAGTCGATCGTGGGATAAGAACAATGGAACAAGAGTTGATCAGTACCGCGGTTTAATGTTTTGATCGATGGATATATGTGCAATAATATATATATTTGTGTGTTGTGCAGGAGTTACTACAGATGTACGCATAGTAATTGTAGAGTTAAGAAAAGGGTGGAGAGATTATCGGAGGATTGTCGGATGGTAATAACAACTTACGAAGGCAGACACAACCACTCTCCTTGCGACGACTCCAACTCTTCCGAACAAGACTGTTTCACCACTTTCTAGTTTATATATATTAAACCTCGTCGTCGTCGATCCGTTTCTTCATATATACAAGGAACAATATTGATATATTATATGTCAGTCAAAAATATTTTGTTGGTATATGTAAATGCAAGAGTGTGAATTATTTGAGCACTTAAAAATTTAGTTTCTTAATTAATTATGGTCTTAATTGGTGTGTTAATGATCATTTAGTTAGTTAATTACTTGTATTATTGATGTTTAGTTGGCTGTGATATATATTATCTTAAGTTGAATTTTCAGATTGGAAATATAGCTTCAGTTTTTAATGCATTTTGTCTAGTGATCATAAAACAATACCTCTTCATGAGAGGTTCTTAGCTAGTAATTCATTTTTTCTTATTTGTGTCGCGTTTTTGTGTCCTCTTGTGCGTGTTTTGACCATTCATATACATACAAACACGTACACATCCACATTGGTATGTGTAGATCAGCGGTAAAACTTCGTAGCATAGAAATAACCGCGTTTGTGTCTGTGGAGGTAGTTCTTTTTGTTGTGCGAGTATGTGTGTTTGTTTTGTTTATATGTTTCTAAGCAAATTTTATTGACAATATAATCAAATGTCCACAAATATTTGGGGTTTACAAGTTACAACCACTTCTATGAGGTAAAGTATAATTACAAAAAAAATCTCTTCGGTTTCACAAATTACATCCAGCCCCTCCAGTTTATAAATTTCTTATATTCATCCCTATAAAATGGTGTTAATGTAAGAAATCAACAAATTGCAAGGGAATGGATGTAACTATGGAAAAATGAGGGGTTTTTTTTGCAAATAGACCTTACTTCAGAGAGTGATTGTAATTTACTCAAGTTTCAAACTCATGATAAAAATGGAGCCCGAATTTTAATCATATGAAAGATATATCCAAATTCAATTCTTATTACTATAAAATCCTAATATACTTTTTTTTTTTTTAAAACATCATATTATCAATAACTAGTATAAAAAAAATAGTGATATTTTGAACATTTTGTTTTAAATAAATAATCAAGTATAGTTTTTATCCTGAAACAATAAATTATAAATACTACAAAATACCTTGTATATTGTACAATCCCAAATACGAGACAAAATAAAATTGTTAATCCTAATTAATCAAGTGACAACTACTACTTTGCAAAATCAATTACACATTGTATATATGTTTTGTCCTGGTTGAGCCAAAGGAGTTGCTACTTTTGCTCTGTGAGCATGATTTGGTGAAATCCCACCACTCCTTTTAGCCATAAAAAATCGGCAGAAACACGCCTTCACTCGATACTCGAATCCATGGGGAATTAACTTAGCCCCGTTCATCTGTCTGTTAAATCCATGGCGAAATTTAATTAGCTTTACTAATTACATGAATAGCAAAGTGTGGACTAAAAGATTACTTGCAATAAACAGAAAGGTGACTGCAAACAATATACGAGTTATAACCGTGACATGTGAGAAGAAATTTATCTTTTTGTAAACGTAGAAATTGAAGTATAATTAACTTACTAACTACTGCTAACTAATATAACGCTAGCTATGCATAATTTCAGACTCTTACGCTAGAATATGGTTCATTCGTCAACGTACCCATCGAGGAATGTGATAAATATTAACAGATAAAAACTCTCGTATTGTTCAAAAGAAACATTAAAGAGATCCCAAGTTCTTAACACACGAAGAAAATTACCAAGTACTTATCCAATGGACCGTAACCGAGACATTGCAGAGGCCTGTACGATTCACTATCTACAGACTATATTTAATTTCCGACATTAAACCAAGAATCGGTTTCCTCGTTTTCTTGTCCAAATATTAGTGTCCACTACTTTTAGTAGTCACCCAATCCATGAACTATCATGTATTCGTTGTTTTTGCTTTCTTTACCCTTCATAGGGTGAACTAAACTTAGAAACGAATCAAACTAAGGTCAAGATTTCTGCTGGCTTATAGCTCGAGGGGTAAACGAATCGAGTCGAGGTAGTTGGATTTTTTTCGGGTACATATTTTATCATTTTCTATTAATCGAACTCGACCCGAGCTTCACAGCTTAGCGAACGAAAAAATTATGTGTTCAAGTTTAATTCGTCATAAGAACTTTTAACGAACAATGATCGATAATCGATTTTCAGCACTCTAACAGCTAAATGCCTAAACATCTATGGTGCTTGAAAACATTATATCAAACACTTTCAATTAGCAATGATTATCAAGGCAAAATAGCATTGCAGGATTAAATATTTAATCAATTTGACATTAAAAAAAAATTAAAAATTAAAAATAAATAATACCTCAAAAATTGGGAGCCAGCGGCAAAAAAATTGATTCTCAACCTAGAAAAATGAGATCTTCGGCGCCGTAAACCTGGATTCCTGTCCGCTTAACAGATGAGAAAAATGGACCCAGCATCTTCCGATAATGGACTGCCCTCGACATCTCTTCTCCGACGTCAATTCGAACGGCGGCGACGCCGATTTCCGCGAGGCGGATGGCGATTTTATCGCCGATTCTGGAAGCGGTTTTGGAGTCCCAGAAGGTTTTGGACCGGGGGAAGCGGTTGAGCTTCGCTTTGTACTCTCTGGCGAATTCTTCTTCGGCGGACGACGCCATGGCTATGATTGAGTGGGTGCTTGCGCACGTGACCTGCGCGGTGATTTTTCTGCAGGAGAGGACTAATTGGAGGAGGTGGTGGGCGCTATGCGTTGCTGCCGGAGCCGCCATTTAAACCCGCCGGCCGGCGATAATTTGGGGATTTTGCTTAATTTGAGACGAGGAAAAGGTGCAAGCGAAGGTTCCACTAATTGAATAGTAGTATTTTATAGGGTGAAAAATGCAAAATCGAAGTATTATTTTGGCTTAATTTCTCTTTGCACCCTGGAAATGTATTATTATGGCATTTTGCATCCTCGAAAAAAATTAATACCATTTTGTACCCTCAAGACGAAATAAATCATTTACAATGGAACTTCAATTGAATTTTTTAAAACTTAATAAAGGCAACTTCATTTTTTAATGATTTTTTTAATTTTTTTCTTTTATTGCAATAGATGAAAATATTTGGTAGAAATCTTCGTAAAAAAAATATTTTTCACATAACTCGATAACAAAATAGTTGAAGGGTATTTTTCTTCTTATAAAATAAAGTAACACAATGAATCAAGTATGAAAATATATTTCCATTCGATAAGATATGAAGTTCGAATCTAACTCGAGCTTTATTCGAAGAAAAAAAGAATGATAAGATATATAGAAACTTAAAGTTACTCAAACTCGATTCATACTCGAGCAAAAGGTAATTTTCACAAAATATTACATTTGGTTTCATAAAATGGGTGGTTAATCTCTCAACCTTTAATAAACTATTTCATTAATTATTATTTTGGGTAAATTACGAGAAAACCCCTAAACTAAGGCCAAAATATTAAAAGAACCCCAATAAGAAAAAAAAAAACCCAATCATCTACCCATAATTAGCAATATATCCAAAATGCAGAACACAATGCTATACATATAAAACAATAGAAACACAGAATCAAAGCATTCAAAAAGACCGAACAAGCGGTCGAATTATACGCAACGTAACTAGGTTTCAGTTTGATGCACCAAAAGATCGATTACATGTCAAGTTCTTAAAGTTCAAGTAACGTACGGCTTTACCGTACCGTACCGTACCGTACCGTACCGTTTTATTTATTGTATACTAAAGATATTTTGCAAACTGTCGATTATACACTTAACAACTCAAGTTCTTTATCGATATCTTAGCTTCGTTTCATATAAGATATCTTGCGGCGCTTGTAGAATGATTCGACTATGCCGTAACCTCCACTCCTCTTATTAACATCTCTTTCCTGTCTGTTCGAGCAATCTTCATTACACGGACACGATTCGTTACATTTCACCTCCAAATAGTAACATTCACAGTCACTGCACGACAAAAAATTACAAACAATATACGATGATTTTAAATTAATCGTCTACAAAATCGCATAATTTGATAAAAAAAAATGTTAGGTTGGATCATATAATTCTTACTCTTTCGAACAATCTTTGTTCTCACAGGTGCACTTTCTGATCTGAAAATCAGACTGCGTCTCCTCAGACGAGCCGACTTCGATCGGACAGATATCAGTGTCGGGTGTCCCAGCGGCGTTAAGGCCGTCTTCTGATAAAGCATCAGGAGGACTACTAGAACCAATTAGTACAAGAGCTTCTTTTCGCAGCTGAACGACTTCCGTCTCATTTTCCCCGTTGTTCCAGCAATTTTCGCAAGGACAATTTACGCCGCAGAAATTGTTCTTCGATAGACATATACACAATCTGCATGCAGGAGAACATATATATATATATATATATATATATATATATATATATATATATATATTAATTACAAATATATATACAAAATCATATAACTGATAAAGAATTAATGTTGGAAAATCGACTTACTCGTCTTTTGAGCATTCTTCCCCACACAAGCAATGTTCGATAACAGCTTCTCCCCCCGGTTCTTTATTTCGATCATGCATGTTCGGCTTAATATCTAAATCTTCGGATTCGGTTAAAAAACAAAAAAAAAAAAAAAAAAAAGCGGGCATCTGTCAAGATAATATCGGAGCTCTCGGTCGATTTGAAATTAGATTCTGATTTAAAAAAAAAAAAAAATCCTTCAAAATTGCTACCATAAACATGAATTTTGAAGATGAAGATAATCAAAGAATCAAAACTCAATTCACCCAATTTTCGAATTGACCAACAAATTCAGAAAGAGTCAAGCCAAAAGGAAAAACAGAAATAATATTAAAGAACAGAATCGGAAAATCTCAAGATACATACACAAATATACTTGATTGGTAGTTATCAAGCTTGCAAGATTTGACAGCGAGCAAAAATTTTCATGCATGAAAAGCTGATCAATTTATCTTCTCTCTCTTCGCATGAATTTCTTACTCTCTCTCTCTCTAGAAATACATTGTGCCTGACCAGTTTACCTTCTCTCTCTCTTCACGTCTTATCTGATCTATCGCCTGGAGTTGGTTATTTGATTATCCTTTTTTTCTGTTTTAATTTGTAGAATGTAAATTAAACCTAACCAAAAAAAAAAAAAGTGGAAATATTTAAATATACTAGTTGTGATATGGCAGGGATAAAAGACTGTTATTTTGCGCTCAACGTATGGTTAGTTATGTCCACTAACTATTGGATGAGGGCCTATCTTTC